CCTGACATTGGTGAGGGGGCTCGGTGCGTCAGAAAAGCTGTAGAGAGGAAGAGTCCGAAACAGCGATGCATTCTCTCCTGATGATCTCCATGCTAGAGTCCGGGATACGGAGCGTTCAGCTGTGAGCAGTGCATACGGCTGTTTAGACTACGCACTACGCATCCACAGTTTTAATCATTATTGAGGTAGGTTTCCGACCTTGCCTGTCAGGGCCAATCAGAGTCAAGAGAGATACAGTGGAACTCGGATTCAAGGAGGTAGCCGGGACTGATCTAAAATCTCGTTGAATCCGAGGGTTCGTTTATAGCAAACATAGGGTTTTGTGTAGATAATTACAGGCACTGAGCAAGTAAGGTATAAAGAGAAGTCACAAGTTAGTGCCTGAAATGCCGGCATATCATGAGCTGTGAAAAAAAGACCAATTCGTTCAAATGCACACGCCCGAGTCGTCTCGATTGTTTGCCAAAAATGTGTGTTGCTGTGTAGAGCCTAGCATACGGCAACTCTTGATTCCATAGACCAGCGCACAATTCATTATAGATCTACGTCAAGACTAGCTTATCGTTGTAATAATGATCAGTTGCCGAGGGGGAAAAAAAAGACTGACGCGTTTACTTTGTATCTGCGACGTTCAACGCCCGGACCGCTAGTGCCCCCCCAATCTCCGACACGCACACACAGCCACACGTGTGCAGGCCGCCCATTCGACCCCGACACACGCCAGAGTAGACATGTGCGCGTTTCAACAACGCATGTGTTGGTATGAAAAAAGGCCGCTGATTGGTCGCATGCAATCGGCTAAGTGATGGTTCACGTCGCAGGTGCAATGGATGGTTTCCGGGAACAGATAAAGTTCGTTCTGGGAGAAAAATGAGCGAAGCCGCGTCTGCGGGGGCTGTTCACCTTGGAAGCGTCCTCGTTGTACCCCAGCTCGTTGATTTAAGTGCTCGTTGAATCCGGGTTATTTTGATTGATTTTAAAGAAGAAAAAAAACGGGGAATCTATCTCATATTGTTAAAAACGAGTTCCACTGTACATGATAGTACATCCCAGATATTCGTTTAAGTTAGTTTTCGTAAGGTTTTACGGCGTTTACAGAGAAGTCCAAATGGGGAATCAGGCTTACTCTGCTCACCCCTTTTGCCCCAACAGCGCAAAATCTGTTTCAACTATCAAGGCATCCCCGAAATAGCAGATCACAAGAGAGTGACAAACTTACAAAAGAAGTAGAGGGAAATGACGATAGATCTAGTAAGGATGAGGAAAGGAAAAGCAGCAGTTACCCCTATGTTGTTCCGGCACAGTATGAGTATGACATTGATGAATCAGCCCATTTACAATTCTTCTGTGGGAATGGCCTGAAGACACTTCAGTCAGTAGCACTGCCCTGGTGGGGATCCCAGATATTCAATAAAAATGTCTCCCTATTCAGGTCTCCTGTGTGCGGCAACAGCCAAGTGCCTAGCTTTACTACTTACACCATAAACGCTGCTATCACAGATCATACTACCCCACTCACAGAAAAATGTGAAATAGTGGAGGAACTTGGTGACATTTCTTTGGCTTGGCAGAATCTATACTTTCACAGTGTCTCAAGACACAAAATGCTGACAACTAGCACATTTTAAAAATCAGCTTGAAAGCAAAAGGTCTCCTCAGAAGCAACCTTCCATGAGGAAAAGAGCTTGATTAGAAAATGTCAGTACAGCACACAATTAGAAGACCAAACACTTCAGAAGTCTTCATTCAGTATTGGTACACAGTCACAATTTAGATCTTTAAGTAAGTAGGGGGCAGGCAAATGTCATATGTAGCAAGCAGGACCTGAGACTAACTGCCTCTGTGAGACAAGAACAAATGCTGTATGATTGCTCTTGACATCACATATTTCCAGCGCCAAGGAGGATGCTTCCATGAACACTTGTAAGAAATTTAGCTGTCTTTTCCATTGGGACAGAAGTGGCTGCTGTGATTTCACTAACATGTAATTATTTTTAAAAAATGACAACTTCACCTATTGTTTTATTCATTCTGAAATTTTATTCATTTCTGTACATGAAAACAGGGGCAATACTTTTTCCCCTTAAAATATCTTAAAAGATACTGTACAAAAAAATACAGGACTACTGAAACCATTGAAAAAATCATTCCCTTCCCATGAAGAACTGTATAATCCCATTACCATTCTTCTTTATCACAGACAGACATCAACCTCGTCTTGTTGTATTAATTGACAATTATTTTCTTCATCATGAGACGCACAAAAAATTATTGGCATTGACTACAAATACCACCTATATTGAGTGGTCAGCAAAATCACCCTGTATTGAGAATCCCATGGAGAATCTGGGACACACTCAAAGTTGAGGCATGTGGTGACCTGCGGATAACCTACACAGGGTGGCCAGGGAAATTTTCTTCCTAAAAATCCTACCACACCAAAAAAAAAAATCCTACCACTATAAGTCAAGCTGTTTCTTGCCATTGTCAGTGTCACAGCTCTCGTCAAAGAAAATCATGTAGAAGGAGCTATTTCGTACACATCTTAGGATAGCCAACAACATCACTGGGGCAATCCCAATTAATGTTCCAGGGTAGCCACGTTTTGAGCAACTAGACTGAAATCTCAGCTATTTTTCAGCCTGAAAACATCTCATGAATGAGAAGACCCGTGTCAATAATTGCTCTAGTTGATCACTATTATATTACTGTTGGTGCTCCTTTCAGTATCTCTCACAACACTTGTTCTGTTCTTGGTAACCTTAAGAATAGATTTGGCACCACACTGGCTGGTTTGGGCTTTCATGTGTTTTTGAGGCACCATGTGAGTGTTCAAAGCTTTTACACCTGAATGACCAATGACAAATACTTGGGAACAAATTTTTTAAATCTAAACTTGCTTTTATCATTTGGATACTCTACCAATCATTCTGAATACTTAGGGTTGGACAATCACTCAGTGTTGATGAAGTAGCACTTTCCCATGATGCTGGATCTAGTCTAGATCTCTCTCTCTAATTATAGTCTACACATATATAGTCACAAAAATCATAAGAAAAATAAGTCTGTTTCTAGTCTGGGTTTCAGAATGCCAAGTGCCGTCAGTCTTCTACTCTCCAAAGACTATCTTGCTGAGTTTTTCCATGGTCAAACGACTATTACCCATGCAATGACACGCCAACCCTTTAGTTCAATAACACAGCTGACAAAGTATGACGGATCCAGATTCCACACAAGTCCTGCACAACACGCGCTATGCAGAAAGCTCTCGTTGCAATCAAAATTCTAAATGCTAAAATTTGTAACCAAGTTTAGTTTTTTCCCCTGGTGTTGCCTTTAACACCCCCCCACCCCACCCCACCCGAGTGTATCTTTTAAAAAAAATTAATAATTTTGCCATCCCGGAGTCCTATACTTCGCAAAGCTCAGACTTAAAATGAACTTTAGTGACCCTAACATTCGCGGTACTCACTTGATGCCCTATCAACATGTGTGTGACATACAAACGTGCAAGTTCAGTGACCGGTCACGACGGCGAGCCCGACAAGACGCTTGTATAACTTTCTTTTCTTTTTACACAAGTGACAAACATTGATTTATTTTCATAGCGACACAGCCTTTGTAATGCACAAACTAATGTTACAACAATGTTGTGTTATCAGACTTTTACCGGCAAATTTCAGGGAGGTAGTGAAAGCGAAAGTAGATCTAGCTTTTCCCGATCGAGCCTCGGCATCACTCGTACACTTCCGCTGGCCACCATAGCCGCCTCTTCGCATGAAACGTACTCTCAGACCAGGAAAAGCTGAATGATCGCGACCGACAAAATGAACTTAGGGACGTTATCGGATTTGGTTTTCAAATATTCAAGAACGTTTATGTATTTTCCCGGGTCTATCCAGAGGCAACTTACAGATTTCCTCAAATTTCCTTTTACTGCCGACGTTTATCCAACCATTTCCGTTGGAACAAAATTTTTCCGACAAAAATCCGACTTAAACAAAAATTTCCGACTTCCCTGGCCACCCTGCTACAAGAACTTTGCCTGGTAATGGTATTGGACGACGAATGGCACAAAATACATTGATTCAATTTTCTTCAAAGCTACAAAAACGTTACAACAAATGGGTAAGCCATCTACAGATGAACTATAGCAAACGGAAACAAATCTAGTATTCAGAAAAGCAGCATTCAGCATTTGCAGGAAACTTTTCATTCGTTTCATATTCCTCCTGCCCTGCTCACCATCTTTTGTGAAACAACAGTTAGTTATGAAATGTCTGTCTGCTCTGTTGTGCCAGTGTCCTCCCCACCACCACAAGGCACTACCATTACCATTAGTCACGAAGTCACGACTGACAAATCAAAAGCACCAGCGCTCTCACGAGCCCAGGTGCAGGGTAATTTTGCATAACCAGAACTTGGCCCACAGCTAAACCAGTCCAGAGACCAGAATAATCACTGAATGCATGCGCTCACACAGCAGAAGATAAAGCTTGCTTTCTTTTTGACTAGGCCCTAAGACATGACACTCATTCCAAACAATTGCATGCTTTGCAATACTGCACTATGCTATCAGAAAAATCAACATTTATTCAATATATATACATGACCATAGGACTCTTGCATGTTATACAATACAGCACTGTTGTGAAGACAAATTCTGAAGGAAAAAAAAAAAAGCCATCTGAACTACATGAACACAAAAATCGCATTCTAAATGTACACCAAATTTTCTGGACATTTTATCACTTCTTTCCACACGTAAGAATTTCACCCAGAAGTACAAAAACACTTTCAACTTTCACAGAAGAACATGACGCGCGGTCCTGTGTCAAGACACCATCTGCTTATCTGTGAGGTTCTTCAGACACACTTTGTCATCCTTCAGCATTTCTTCCCTCTCCAGCTCATCGTCCTCATCATCACTCAGCATGGCCTTGTCATGTGCCGGCTTCTCTTTTATTTCTGCAAAGATCACTTGAAACGGATCCCCTGAGGAAATCACAGGAAAATAATAAAACTCTAGGCCAGCACTGACTTTTCTTTCACTAAAAAAATTAACATAGTTTTACTAAATCAAACAAAAACCATTAACCTAGCATGCACATCAAGCAGATTTTCAGGCCCGAAATATTTACTTTTAATAGATTCTTTGTATTTCAAAACCCACACATTGCAAAAAAATCTGCCATCAGTAGTAAAACATGACCAAAAATTAAATTTAAGTTACCAAAAACAGTGAGAGAGAGAAAGAGAGGGGGAGAGAGAGAGGGGGCATGTGTCAGGTATGACTATGATGATTGTAAGACAATGACTTTTCTATAAGCCGAGGGCAAGAGTGAATGTCAAAGATGTACTTATTGCACATGTGTCACAGAAGAGTTCATTGGTGGATCTAGTAGCCTGCACATTTCAGTAATTCAGTTGCCTGGTATGTGAGGGCACATAACTGGCAGGGCCCTACATTGTTGCCACATGTGTCAGCACACTTCTTCAATTAAGATTACACTACACAACAGCTTGCCAGTGTTCTGAAAAGTTAGGTCTACGTAGAGTAGTGGTAGAGAGGGGACCATGGCGGAGGAAAAGAAGTGGAAAGGCTTCTCCGTCAAAGAAAAGCAGCAGAACTTAGCTTAGCAGGGGTGGATAAAAAATCAATGTTAAGGACTGGTGGGGCACCTGAGGTCTATTTTGGTTATTACAAGGCCTAGAGTGCCCATATTTGCTGTGGGACATTGTGTGCTATTGGGGATTTGAAATCTATATTTCAAAAAGTATATTTTGAATCGGTTGCTATGGAAACGGTGGCCATATTGGATTTTGTATACCTTTTTCAATCCCATTTTATTCCCTTATTTATTAATCGATTAACTTCTAATTTGGTATGCCAACAGTAAAGATATAGGTCTTAAATTTGGCTTGTTGGATTTTTGATATATGCTTTAGTTTTTATTTTATGTCACTTACAATTGGGTTGTTGCAAAAAAAGTGAAAAAAATGGAAAATTCATGCTTTCTAAGCCCATAAATCAAAAACTACTACATTAATCAAAAATTCAACAAGCCAAAATTTAGAACTAGGTGTTGTTAGCATGCTGTTAAAGTTACATTGAAATTGACCAAGAAACAGGGCAGAAAAATGGGATAATGTGTGGAAAAATAGAATTGTGAGAAAACAGCCGATAAAGGTAAAAACTGACTGGAAAACATGTGCTTTTGCAGAAACACTTGGACAAAAAAGACAGCTTTAGGGTGTAGCAAAGCTTACATACGTTTCTGGATATTGTTCAGGAAATGTCCAGGTACTATAATGTGTAATAACCCCAATGTGCATAAATTGGCCCCAAAACAAGATTTCTAGGTGCCCCACCAGCCCTTAATAACCCAAATCTGTAAATCTTAGCGACTGAAACCAAAATACAGATCCTGGCAAATTGGTTTGGTGTTTCACAATGTACAAACAGACACACACATACGCATGTGCACACCCAAACACACTCTCACACATCCTCTCATTACAAGATGATTAAGATGGTAGGAGTTTAATGGGTGATGTATGTGTGTGTGGCATAGAGGGCAAAATTCATATAAAATTTGTACACTTGATATTGCCTCAAATTCGAACATAGTACCCACACAACTCCTGACTTCCTAGAACCTAAAGACATATTTACACAGTTCGGTTTTTTAAAGTCATTAGAGCAACAGCATAAGCCAATGCCCCTATAAACAGGACCTCAATGGTAGAAAATCATGGTTTTCATGGATAGTAGGAAAGGGTTTCCATTACCCTTTTGATTGGTGTAGTAAATAACAAAGGCAGCCAATCTCCGCAAAGAAAAATACATTCACACTTTTTTGTAAGCCTTTTTTTTTTCAACTTGTGTTCCCTCCTCAATCCTAAAGAATTCAAAATTAACGTTAATGCACATAAAAGTAGTTCTTACTAATGTTATTACCAGGTACATAATTTTCAATGTTACTGACAGTCGGTCGAGATAAAAAAAAAAGTGACAATTTTGGAGAAAAAAAAAGTTCTTACTCATTCAAAAAACAAAACAAACAAAAAACAACCCTAAACCTTTTGAGCCCGGACCTCTGATGCTACAATGCCCCTCTGCCTGAGACCATATTACTAAAATTCAAGTGATCCTCAGAATCACATTCTATATCCCACTCATGGTAGTCCTTGTCATTACTAGCACCTAATTCAGAAAGAAAGACCTTCAAATTAATCAGTGACACCCTGTGTAGTAAACATGGTTTCACACATGCATTTTGTCCCTGGCCGGCCGATTTGGGTATAGGGTCTTGCTCACCGCTGAACCTGTGGCTAGGCATACTGGCAGTTTTACATGCCACCGGTAAACTCAAAGGGTTAAAGAGTCAATAGTTCCTATTTTGAGAGAACAAGACTGTTCTAAAGGTGAGATATACCGTAAACTCAAAAGAAGTAACAATCAGAGCATAGAGAAGAGAAAAATAAATGGGAGTGCGTAACATCTTTGCTATTACTTTCTAATATTTCCCAAACATCAAAACAGGATACTGAACTCCTTGAACTTGTAGAAAGAATAAAAAAAGGGAAAAAAGCATCAAGAATATCAATCATACCTGTGCCAGGATCTTTGCGATATTCCAGATGAACATTTTCAAACCCAAAATTTTCCAAACAAGTCATATACTTCACTGGATCTGGACGACCATACTGAAGAAAGCCTTTTTTCTGAAAACAACACAAAAGAAGAATTAATTAATGTCTATATATACATAACTTCCACATAAAATGCTAACTGAGTAGCATTATACAGACATGATCAACACACTGTCAAAAAAAATCATATTTTGGAAACTTTTATAAGGTCTCAGCTTTTTCTTCATGCAGAATCCAACTCGGGACATTTACAATTCCACTGTGCATGAACGAGAAATGTCCCCCCTTTGGGAATGGCCTAAAGACACTACAGTCAGTGGCACTGCCCCAGGGGGATACTCAGGATTTTGAATGACTAAAAAAATCTTGAACTTAATTTTAATTAGTGCACCAGTTTAAGTTAGGCAAGAGCAAAAAAGTGAGCGTTTCTCAGAAGTCACAACCAAAACATATACACCTGAAAAATGCTCTTTATTCAACAACATCTTCATGTCTGACTTGACCTTCACTGATAAAGTTCAAACTGAAGCGATTATGAGCTAAGCCATTTGAACAAGAAAAGCACTGACAATAATAATAATAATGAAAAGAGAATAAACGGACAAATGTACAACAACTTCCTGTCTTTATTACAAATAAGAATACTGATTTGTTTTTAGTAAAGAGAAGCACATTCACACCACAAAGGCCATTAAGAAAGGAGAAAAAGGTACAGTAGTTTCCGTCTAAACGCACGGTGCTCGGGAAGGCTCCTTACGGTGTGTTTATACGGAGCGTGCGTTTACATGAACCTTTGCAAGGGGAGGAAGGTACACAGTCATCTCAATTCCTTATTACTCCAGTGACCTCCCTTGGAGGGAGGGGGTCATTTTGGCAGATAATTTGACGACTCGTGACTGTTTTGTGAAGGATTCCCCAACAGACGTTAAGAATACAAAGGCGTTGAATGGGGGGGAGAAAGACAAACTCAATGTAATGAATATGCACTATAAACGTCGGGAACAGATAGCCTATGAGGAAACTGTTGGTGATAGTCATAGAGACGACGAACCAGCAACGTGGCTTTCCAAGCGACCACCCCCGACCGTAAATTCATGCAGAATCATCCCCATGAAACATTTTCCCTTGTGATTCGTAGAACAAGTACGTTATTAATTCTTCGAGTGCAGCTGATTAGGCTTACTTGGCTAATCTTTAAAATCCTATAGAGGCCTGTCTAGTGTTTTACAGCATTCGCGCGTGTCGCGCATCAGGCCTAGATTTACCTAAACATTACACGCAGTCACTCTCAAACACCAGTCAGAAACCTCTCAAAGATACATTTCAGTTTCCCCCCCAACAGTTAACCGACCAGCCCTAGTTCGAGACCTATGCGTCAGTGGAAAGTAGGGTGTGTAAACGCAGTCCATCACTCTCTTTGTACAGCGTGAGGGGCACTCTCACCAAACATCGGGTATTCTAGTAAATTCTAGGCTTGTCTTATGCAGGCTGTAGTGAAAATTTCCCCCTGCCAAGCTTAACTTGTTGGCGTGTTTCGCGGATCGGAGCGTGCGTTTAGAGGGAGTGACCGTGCGTTTGTACGTCTAAATTATATAGTAAAAAACTTGTCAGATGACGAAAGTGTGCGTTTGAGCGGAGCATGTTTTTGTATGGTGTGCGTTTAGGCGGAGACTACAGTAAGACAGGCAGTCAAATATAATAGACAGAAAGAAAAGAAGTAGGACCTTCCAGTAGCACCATGGGTGCCAGTGAAAATTTTTTCCAGCCCTGAAAACCCAGATCCAAAATTTTCCCAACCCTGAAATTTAAAAAAATATGAAAACTCTTTCTACCTTGCCGTCTGTATGTTGCTCGTTGAACCATTTAGTCGCCTTAAGGAAGTTATGTTGGTGGTCTTAGTTTTTTTTAAAAGGGTCTTGGAGATTGCCTGACTAAGGCAAAAGCATGCACCGGGTTGTTCGACTTTCCTACACCACACAGAAACTTTGACATCGTCGAAAATTTCATCAAACCATTGCCAACGCCACTTATTTTTACACTTTTCTCCAATTTCTCCGTAGAAGCAGGTCTATCTAGAAACTTCATCTACAAAAATCAAACAGAGCTTGCACAGATCTAGAAATCTATTTGAATTTATCGAGATTGACAGACCTGCCACTCTATGAAATCCTGCACAGATCTAGAAATTTATTTGAATTTATCGAGATTGACAGACCTGCCACTCTATGAAATCCAAAAATCAGGATTTCCGAGTAAAAAAAATCAGGATCTGGCGACAAAAATCGGGATCAACGGCAAATCAGTCATAAGGGGTACTGGGGAAAGGGGGGGGGTCTCCTGGTTGCCTTTTATGAGGCAAGTATGCAAGAGAAAACTTTTGCAGGAATAAGTTAACGTTTGGGCCTCTTAATAGAGGGAAAACTGGAAGAAAGCATTACTCGAGTTGAGTTGGATAGTCTGGGGGAGCGCAGGTTGCAGTAAAGCTGAAACTCTCGTAGTCTTGAAAATAGCTGACACATAACTCTAATCATCCATGCAAAAAGCCCATGTTTTCATACACTAACAACGTTTGACTTCCATCGTATATACACTCAAGGCACCACCCCCCCCCCCCGAAAAAAAGATGACGCCAAGGTTGTTCATGTTTTTGTAATTCCTTTACTTTGTCCTCAATTAATACATGACATGTATCACGGCACGCACTTTATGCCCAAGTGTCAAAACAATACCCCCACCCCCCCCCGGCCGTCCACACTGGTTAAGTCCCGAAAAACACCTTGACCAATGCGACCGGTGTGAATGAACTTTGTTGACCCCGACAGCCCCCGACACACGCGCTACTCACACATACGAGGTCATGTCACGAGAAGAGAATGAGCGTTTGAACGTTCCACTGACAGGTCTTGATGACGGGCCCGACTAACCAGAACTCAGATGAAGCTTGCTTTTAAAGCAACAACAGAACAACAAATAGATTATTCTTAGGCCTGTGTCATAATTGTTACAGTAATCAGGACACCATCGGAGAATTCTGAGTTATAAAAGCGAAAGTAGATCTTGAGCGTGTCCATGTCTGAATTCAAAATCGATACTACGTCAGTTTTAGTTGAAGTAACGTGCATGAGTCATCTACTAAATTCGGCATAGATGCTTTAGAAAGTAGCGTTCCAAGTTCCTGCCGATAAAAAATCCAATCAGTGCTTCCTAGCAAAAGAGATTGCAGAACTTTATATATATATTTTTTTCTAAGAATCGGACGCAACAGACGCAACGACTAAAAAATCAGGATACTGGCGATTGAAATCGGGATGCTTGAGATTTGGGGAAAAAAATCGGGATATCCCGATATCGGGATGAGTGGCATGTCTCCGGTAGGCTAGCTTACGACACGACCACTCGCTGGCTTAGCTTTCGTCTCACTGACACTGATCCCGGTTTTCGCGCGAACAGATCTAACTAGTCATCGAAAAAATTGAAGGGATAAAAAAAAAAAAAAGGAAATTGTTCACTCCTTATTTGAGCCATGTAATTTATTTATCCTTTCGATCCCATCACCGGCGTTTCCGGTGATCAGACAGACGAAACAAAATATCGCATCCGGAACTTGCATACATATATATTTAATATATATCACGATACCAGTTTTTTAAAATCCACTGCGCTTGGCCGGACTCTGCCGCTATCGGCCAAATTTTTTTCCCGGCGATTAATTCCCCCCCCCCCCCCTTTTTAAAGATCCGATGCAACCCGGAAAGTGATGCTGTGAAATTTTGTCAGGCCGGATTTCTTGACTGGGCCCGGAGGTCTGGCACCCATGAGTAGCACCCTCCATCCACCAGCAGATGCTTAGAAAGTTAAATGGACAACTACTACTGATCTCGAATACAAAGGAAGCAAAAGAAATTTTCTTTAAAAGCCGAGATAGAAGACGAGTAACCTACAGACATGGAGCAATATAAATGCCTTAAATATAGGCATTCAGACATTAGTCATTATTATCTCTGTGAGACCTACCTGTGTCATTTGCAGCGAGTTCAGATTGAGTGTGGTGACCATGACACTTCCAGGCCGCATGACCCGGTAGATTTCTCTCATCACTGACCGCATATTGGGCCAGAAATAGTAACAATTACAGTGAAATACACGGTGAACAGAGTCAGTGTTGAGAGGGATGTGCGTGGCACTTCCGTGAAACAGCATCACTTTCTTGTCCTTCACGGCCTGAGTAAGTCTTCGTTTTGCTGTGTCCACCATGAAGAAGGAAGTGTCGATACCATAGACTTTGCCGGAGCCACCTGAAGAGAAAAAAAAACAAAAACCCCCCCAGTTAAACACTTGCCAGAATTGACATCCTTCATGGCATCATAATTATTTCAAATTCTTCTTCAGCCAGCCTATGTCACTGTGGTGGGTGGATGCAGGCAAGCCTCTAACTTATCAGCTTAAAACTCAATGCTCAGCTGAGAACAGGCACTTGGCAAAAAGGTCACAGCTAAAGGAATTTAAAACCAAATGTCTTGAAACAAAAGAACCACAAAAACTTGGAATATTTTGATCTCTTGGAAGTTGGACCCCATCCACTGAACTATGAAGAAAGCCCAATTCACTCCAAACTTTTCACTCCGTTGCAAAGACACACATGACTTATTCACTTATGCAACTAAAGGGGCTCCTCAAAATGTATGAGGAACTGCCAACCCATCAGCATGTTTTAATAATCAACAAATAAAAAAAGAGTAATCTAGCTTAAGAATTCGTAACATGGCCATGGACAGTCTTCCCTGGGGTTGCAGCCAAGTATAAATGTAACACAAATAAATGTGACCAAAAAAAAAAAGGTCTTGGCGAGCTCGTAATTGTCGATATTTTTTTTAAAGAAGGGTGGGTGGGTGTGTGAGTGTGAAAGATTTTCTAATCACAGGAGCACATTGTACAATGCATTTCTACCAGAGGAGAACACTTCATGCTTTTTTAATTTGTTTACTCTGCTAAAACAGCACAAAGGCATGTTAGATTATTATTACTCTGATTTCCAAGGCTTTCACCCTACAACATAAGTGATATTTGGAGCCTAGATCTGCTATAGTTTTTGTTATTATTGCAATGACCACTAGTTGGCTTGTTGTCACCATGACGAATACAAAAACTAACAGAAAGGTCAAGCTTCTGAACTTTTCAGCCCTGTGAGCACTATGACTAACTGGGACTGGCCTTTCTTCCATTGTCAATACATACTGATACTGTTACAGAGGAGTAGAAAGTAAGGGAAGATCTAAATACATTGCCATCATTGCTATTGATTACCAAGGTCCTGGTTCTGAGCTCATAGGGTCAGCACTCACTATACTATGACTGACACTCCCTTTATGCACTGCAGAGCTGACGCAAGAGCAAATAACAGTGCTTGCACCTCCCCCTCTCAGTGCACATTACAAATAAAAACCCCTGCTTCAAACCGATCACCTGACCTGCAGTCTTAAAAACAAACACGTTTATTGCTTTAGGTCATTATCAGTTTCGTTACGCTTGTATCACGAAGGTAGTTTTGCTCCTCAATGGAGGAAATTCTGGCTAACCCCGACAATCGAAACAAACCAAAGCAGTGCTGCAAATAGGGAAAGCTTATAAAGCAGAGAGGGTTGACTTTGTATCAATAGCAAATTTCGCATGATAGCGCCAGTGGTTACTGCAGCAACTAAAGGGTGCTTTTGCAACACTTTATGAATATGTTGAAATTTGTAGTTTGACCTAGGCCCATTACAAAATTAGAATTTTAAATTTTATAATTGCATTTTTAAATCATGAAATGTATGCTCTAAGATACATAAATATAATGCATATATAAAGAAAAAACATATCACAGAAACTAAAAATCATCATTTGACTGGTGAAATTTAATTTTCACTTGTCAAGTGAGGAAAATCCTGATTGTGCATAACTACACACCATGCCATGCACACCAGCTGAAGTTTCAAATGAGATCTGTTTTTTTTTTTTACACATTAACGTTCTCTCAATGAGCATCACAGACAACGTAAACATGCAGGAACTTTTTAACACCTTGTCACAATAATGTTCATTTAATTCCTGGTTTTGGACTTGGGCGTAACTAACGTTTTTCTGAGGGCAAAGTGACTACAAAAGCTTTGTGAACAGATAATGTTAAAGTTAGTCAGCTGTGCGCGACGTAGAGACGCAAACTGTTGGGCTCTGTTTTTCTTTCATTATTAATCCTATACTCTGAGAGGGTGGAGATGGGTTGGGGTACCCGAATGGCAAACAAATTTTCAAAAATAAAAATCATGGGTGATAAGATCGTATTTCCAAATTGAAATGATGGGCACCCCTGCTACTGGTATCAAAACAGCACAATTACGCCTGACTCACCTTTCACTACATTGTATGCAGACTCGAGGCCAACACCGGGACCAAATCCTATCTCCAGAACATTGTGATCTGGTTTCATGTCGCATAGGATCACTGCATTCTTTTCTAAGAAGCTATTTTTTTTCACCATCGCCCTCTGAAAAGAAAACATGAAAATCATAAAGATCATATGCAATTGAAACCCACAGAGCAATGATGTATCCTGTTTTTAAATGGACATATAAAGCAACGGTGTTGAGCCAGCCCCCACCAAATGTGCAGGTGGAAAAATGTTTCCTCAATTTCATTATTTTGTCAAGCGTCTGATTTCACCACGACGCCACATAAAAAAACCCCCAAAACATTTCAAAATCTAGAAATGTCCAGATTGTAATGAAATATAGGGCAAAAGTGCAGGATGTTCTAGAAGCCACCACTCTCTGTATATGTAACATTTTGGGTTGCTGTTAAAATTCCTGCCTTGTACTGGATAAAATGGTTTTTATTTGAAAAGTGTTTAAGCTTTATTGAATATAATAATTTTTATTTTCGGGCCCCGGGATATTTCGACCCCCAAAAGGGGGGGGGGGGGGGGGGGGCTTCACACACAGGGAGGGGTATGCATGCCTGCCCCAGGATGTAAAAAAAAAAAAGAAGGATTTTAGGTGTTTCAGGATGCCCCTCAGTTTTTGCTAATAACTTTATGTTTTTCAAAATTATGTTTGAATTTTTTTCTTCAAAATAATTGATTTGCAAGGACAAAGGAACTGTGGGACTTAACAACATCTGCAGAAGTTTTCATTGAGGTATGTTCTCTTGACTTTAAATATCAAATATAAACCTAAATATACAGCAGAATTTGAATGTAACTAACATTAAGTTTAAGATTTATATTATTGACTGAGTAAGTGACAGTCTTACTGCGCTACCATGCCTTACTCACTCAACTTAAACTTACTATAGTGTAAACATACCACTATAATATGAATACAGTGTGAGTAGGCTAAATATTTTACTTTCACTCTTGCACAGTTGTACCGCTGTATTTTTTGCTGCAGATCACACAAATGGTCACTACAACTTCCAAATCAACCATTTTCAAGAAAATTTCAAACCTTCTAATTGCAAAACATTATTGGGTAAAACAAGGGGGTATCATGCCCCTATTATAACTGCACGGTGTGACTATTCGCACACGAACACGATCCTTTGGAACCCCCCCCAGTCATTTTTGGAAGAGATTGGTTTTCAGCACCACCAAAGGCGATCGCGCATTTCCCGGTCACAGCAATTTTAACTCACTGAGCACCACGCCCCGATTTGCCTCTAAGCCCCAGAGGACTACCAATTTCCCCAACTTTTTTTAAATTCATAAAAAAATTGAAATGAAAAGTTATTTCTTTGAAATTTTCTGTGCTATTTAATAAGATATGGGTTCAACAGACACAATAAACACATTGTGTGAAGAATGAACAACAACAAAATGTATGGGACAGAAAGTTGGGACAAATTTGCCCCAGAAAATTTTTTTGGGAAAAAAAAGGAAGTGATGTGATAAAGCAGAAATCTAATAAACTTACACAAAATGGTTGTGGCAGCATGTGTGTGTACAGTGAAGTAGCATAAAAATGTAAGTGATAATTAATTTTGAAAAAGGAAAAAAACCCCCATCTAGATCTAGATCTTCCACGGTGACAGGCTGGGAAGTGTTTTTATTGTCAGTGTTGCTAGTGCTAGGACTAGATCTACATCTGTCAATAGATGTCCCAGGTCTGAGTACACTATATCTTTTCCACTCTGAGTTTGAGAGCTGATTTGAACTAGAGTTTAGTACTGGGGCTAGATCTAGATCTATCATCATCCCCAGCCGGACCAGGCTGCGTACTCGTTGACGAGTCAGATTCACGATCGAGAGACGATGTTGGTCTAGATCTAGCTAGCTAATGTCATTTTTTCAGTCATCTTCATCACTGCTAGGCGAATTCCTGATACTTCACTATCACTTAAATCTTCACCAAAATTATCGAGAGTTTCAATAAACTCCGACACAACTCGCCGTGCCGTGCTTCGCGCACGAGAAACAACAACGAATTTCTGGGTCAAGAATCGATTCCAGAAACGATTCCTGCGATTATTGCTTCTGAGAAAAAGAGCCGATCCCTTTTTCGTAAACTAACGATTCTCAATTACTCTATTTTCATCTTATTTTTTTCTTCAAAGAATGCATTTTTGAAAAAAAAAAATGTTTGTGGTTTGCTATGTTCTGAAATCGAGGTTATCCTGAATCTTGAAGACTTAAGAAAGAGTAGTCGGGATGCAGAGTCATTGTCAAAGATTATATCGATCTAGTACACAGTGTCTAAACTTATTCGTTGCTTTCGCCTTTTTCTCATTCATCTGTTGTTGTTTTTAAATCATAATAATATTCCCTTTTCTTTCAATTCAAAATCTAAAACTGTAACGTCTGCCCATGAGGCTCTATATTATAGACTTTCATTTCTCGGTGTAGGTCAGTGTTGGTCTCTGACTTCATATTGTAGAGATTGGGTGGGGTAGTGCCTGGGGTAGCGCCCTCCCACCCCAAGTAATCAAAGGGATCGGACTAATCGTTACTCGCCAGATGTAATTGCTGGGGTCGGAGTAACTGCTACTCGCCGGAAGTAGTCATAGGTATCGAGACTCGGCGGAAATAATTGCTGGGGTCTGAGTAATTGCTACTTGCTGGAAATAATTGCAGGAAGAAATCATAGAGCCACTTGAAGAAATCACATCACTGGCTATAAAGAAAGTAATTGGGTTCGGTGCCGATTCCTATGATTCCTAGCCTTTAATATTCTGGAATCTACGGTTACCGAAAAAAAAACAGGAATCGCCCACCTCTACTGCGCGGAAGTTCCTTACTTTCAGTTGTTCAGTCCGTTGGACAAATAACTCGTTTATTCGCACTAAAAGTGGTGAATATACACAAACCACACAGAACAGAGAACTAGCATGTCGATATCCTGTTTAAACCACTGGGGCTATTTGCAAGCATTTTATAGTCAATTATAGTTGAACCCGCGTACGCTGCGGTCGCTGTCCCCGACGCAAATTTTACCAGACTGCGTATGCTGCGGGAGCGGTGCTCAGTGAGTAAAGCAAACTGCAAAGATGCATTGGTCCAAAAAAGAGAAGCACGTTATTCTCAAATATGAGAAAAAGACCCACAATGTACTTCATGCTGGAGTAGAAGGCCACACGAGTCCGAATATACACGAGAGCTTTTAAACAACACGTAGTCGTGTCCCAATAGATGCAGCCTAAGCCCTGTGCTTACAGTAGAAACGCACCCCCCCCCCCCCCCGGAAATGAAAGGGTTTTTAACTTTATAATCCATCGGGGGGGGGACCTGATAACTGCAAGTACTGAAATCATGCTCAGCATGCAAATTTACACTAATATTAACCCTGGTCTTGCGGGAGCTGGGTTTTTGTTCCCCGATAAGCCTATTTCGGCACATCGCCTTCGCTCCGGTATTATGTCAGTCCGGCCCTGGCTCAGTGCACGCTCGCTGAGCATCATCCACATGATGAAAAGTTCTCGTTTCCCTCAGCTCAAGTGTGTGTGTGTCAGTCTGCTTGAGTTTGTGTGCGTTTGTGGCCTACTTCTAGAACCGCCTGCGTTGGTCAGTAGCCGAGGCAAAGAAGGTCTACGTCTCTTTCAATACACGCCAAGTTGGTAGCTCAAGAGCAGATGTTCATCCAATGAAATTAAATCAAATTGACCTACTCAGAATGAGGTGCTTCAAAGTAAGGATAGCCATGAAACAAGACTTCCAACAAAATCTTCCACTTTCAAAAGAGCTTGATTTTATGATATTACCAATACTACCTGATAAAAATAAGCTTAGTTTTCAATACCATTGTGCTGGTATAAAGAACAATTCGAGAGCAAAACACGAGCTCCAGATCAAAACAAACAAGCGCATCTAAAAAGGTATTCGAATGGGCGTAACTAGATCTATCTACTCTCATAATGCTGTATCAGCTTACGGAGTGTCTACGCACACAGTAACCGGGCACCTAGTCTCACCTAGTATCAGTATCTACGTAGTGCCCGGTTACCGTGTACGTAGACACTCCCATCAGCTTATGAGAGGGGGTTATGCATGATATGTTCACAACATTTTACTTTATAAATAGAAAGCTATAAAAGTTAGAGCCTCATTTTTATCATCGATTAACATACCCCCTTAGTATTCACGGCGAAAACACACGTTTGTCGTTTCCAGTGCCGCTCGCTGTAGCCTTCACTTCACCACAACAACAGTACATGTTGAGTGACTCCGGCGGCTCACCCAAATGTCTGACGGAATAGGTTGCTGATACGATTCGCATCCCAGCACAAGACGCAGGATGACTAGAGTTAAAATGAATCTCAAAACTTGATCTAGTTTCGAGGCTAGCCTAGATCTAGATCTAAATGAAGATTGCGGACGTCTTTTCGATGAACGATCGTTTTTCCTCCCTTTTGGAGTTGAAGGAATCACAATTTGAAGAAAAGAACAATCATAATTACAATCGAGCTGTCACCCTCTCTCTCTCTCTTTCTCTCTCCTCTGTCTCTGTGTATCGTTCGCTTTCTCTTTTGGCAAGCACTATTTGCAACGCCGCGTTCTGAATAGCTCCCGTGCTATTTGAAACGCCAGTACTAGAATCTAGATCTAGATCTAGTAGCCATCGTTTCTACATGATAATATTGTAGTTCTGCCTGAATTGTGGAAGCTTTCTTCTCAGTTTTTTGATAACGAAGTGACTATTTCTCCGAACGTTCGGAGAAATAGTGCCGATCTTTATTTCTCCGAACGGTTTCCAGCTTCCGGTCTCGTGATTTTTTGCCTAGCCTGTTTATTGCTAGAGTTCAGCGCCAACTTTCATTCTGCCTCTGGTCTGGGAACGAACACCGCATGGCATGGCAAGCCCGCCTACAGACAACCTTCAGTAACACCCACCACATACCCACCACCATCATGCACATGTACACACACAAACGTATACACACACTAACTAAACATGATTGGTGGGCAACTTTTTGAACGTATGACGAGCTGAGCTGTGGATGGAGAGACAGTGTGAGTGACTGAGCAGGTGAAAGGAAGAATGTACGAGTGTATCACAG